AGAGAGAGAGAGAGAGAGAATTATTTAAGAAATTTTGTGTACCCAAGCTAGAATCTTCAATGATATTACCCTAATTTCAAAGAATTTTTGGTCAGGTTTTTATTGTAAGAATATCGAAGAGTGTCACCAGTAACTCAATGGCTAGCAATCTGAAATGCCAAAGAGAAACCACTACCGATGGTTTATAACCAGACCGACAAAATCTTCATTCCCTACACAAATTACTTCAGAATGTCGCAGAAGAGAAAATGATCACAGGGAAATGATAATTACCTTATTGAGAAGTACATAAATTGAGAAGTAACATAGGCCTCTGAGACAAGTACTTTGAAGATCTCACTCCAATGCCCGAATTGACATGGTCAGATCTAAAGTACTCAGCCTCCTGGGGGCCTGCCCACTGCTATCTTTTTCTAAGAGTCTTAAATCAGTTTTCATGGTATCTCTAGGTTGCCCACTTTCTTGTGGGTTTTCCTTTGAAGAAGAAGGGGGGGTGCATAAGGATAATGAGAGACTACTGTCAATATCCTCAGCGTGAGGTTTCTGCAAACTCGGGTTTAGGGTTAATTGCAAATCAAGCTCAGAAGTGTTCAATCTCTTCCCATCTGGACTCGTATCCTCGCATGGTTTATCCAGAAGGTTCATACCAAGGTTGTCATTTCCATGTTGCTGCAACTGTAAATTTGTAGATCAATCAGTGAAAGCAAATACAGATACATTTGGCTAGCAAGGTCAACAAGAATTATAATTTTCTTTATATATTTAAATCAGTTGAAACAAGTGCATGTCTTTGTGTTTCTGAGGGGGAAGAGAGAGAGAAAGGGGGGGGAGGGGAGAGTATTTACCGGGAGCTGCAAAGAGAGCTCAAATTGCGATCCATGCCTATCAGAAGCAGTTAAAGCCTCATGGGATCTATTTGTGAGCATAGTATTATGAGCAATACTCCTTCCAAAAATCGACTGATCCATGGTTGCAACAATGGAGCTTTGACAAGAACCCACGACATTTGCTCGAGCTTGGCCCGAACAATTCCACTCAAAATTTGGAGGAATTTGCCTATCAAACCCTTGCACTCCAATTCCTTCACTCCTGTACCCAATTCCTGTCTCTCTCTGAATGTTGGGGTATCTTCTCTCTTCTATGCTGTGGTTTAATTTAAGAGGCCCACCTGAGGTGGCTGCTCCCCTTATTGCAAACAACTCTTGCATTGACCTGTTGCCATTCTCTCTGAACACTGTATTTTGTACCATATTGTTGCCTAGGACATGAAAGGTTGATCTTGATCCCCCATGATTATCACCTATACCTTGGAATCCATATGGTTTGAATACCCAATCATGCTGCCTTTAATGTCAAAATCAGAAAAAATGAGATTGGGCCTAGAGAGAGAGAGAGAGAGTAGGTTTAGAAACCACAATAATGACAAACCGTAGAGAGTAGTTCGTCTGTGAGCAGATAGAATACGTGGAGAGAGAGAGAGTGTGTGTAGAAGAGAGAGAGAGAGAGAGAGAGAGAGAGAGAGAGAGAGACTACGTAGTAAGTTGTGTCTTGTGTAGAGTAGGTAGGTAGGTAGGAGGTAGTTGGTACGTAGTAGGGAGGGACGGTACGGTAGAGTAGTAGTACGTACG